CTATATGCTGTTAAAACATCTCATTTACATCACCACTCAATTTATGTAAAATACCATTCATTTATCATTTAAACTATAAAAATAAAAAGGTTTGCATTTTTTATAACAAATCACAAAGAATTTCTATTCCAATAATTGACTAAATTATTCGCATAATTAAGTATACAATGAAAGCCTTTTACCTAAAATGAAATGTAAGGAATTGTATAAAAATATTTCTATATTTTGTTTTTTTTAAAACATTACTTTCAACTCATTTGAATCTAATCTCCGAAACTATTTGCGCCAAAAAATGCTAATTTAAGCAAAAAAAATGCAAAAATATTTTTATAGCCAAAAATGCATTCGTAAAAGAATTTGACGAATTTGTTTGAAAATTAGTGATTTCCATATAAACGCACAAATAACTAAGGATGGGGGCAATAATACATTTGTATTACTCCGTGTAAAGTTATTTATCATATACTATTGACAATATTTGTTAAAAATGGGCAAGATTCACTTAAACTTGTAATATTTCCTCAATTTATTTCAAAATTATAAAATTAAAATTATTATTAAAAAATAAGCATATAAAAGTAATTATATCTAGGCAAATATCTAATATTTTATTTCATAAATTAATTTATAGAAATTTGTCCTTTAGGTTAGCATTAGCTTCTAGTTCTTGAGCATGGTATGTAATTAATTATATTAATGACATTAATAATACAAAATTACTTGTATTATACAATCTTTATAATACATGGTAACAGTTTTTTCGTGTATTATCCCATCCTTACAACTTACTAAACGTCTGGCAAAACAAAAATTTATTTACAGAAACATTTTTGGATATTGTTTTTCACCAAAAATTGTTTATCAAACAAATAAATGACAAATTGAATGCAAATTGAATATTAAATTTTTATTTGATTTTTATTAAGAGTTTTATTTTTATTAATTATTTAGTTTAAAAAATTACTTAAATTTATAATTTATAATATAATCTCATTTGATTGCAGAAAACATTTGTCTGCAATTAGTTCACGGGTTTTCACTATTGGATAGACATTAGGAAACAAATGATGTTTTGGGAGAAGGGATAAGTGATGAGGAGGTGTTGGTGGGCACGAGTTGTCACAATTAACAGTTTTATACACTCTGGAGGTTAGAAACTAATTGATTCTCTAATACTGTGTAACAAGTATTTTGTTGTTTTGTACAATCGGTTTGTATTATGAAATGAGAGATAAAAATCAATGCAAAATAAGAAATAAAATATTTTTGAAGATAAAATCAAAATAATTTCAAAAAACTATAAATGCCTCCAAAAATGTATACAAAATAAAATTAAGACACTTTAGAAGATTATTTTTGAACACTCTCTCACTCTGGTTATAAAAAATAGTAGATTTTTGCGTTAATAAAGTAAAACTCTATTATAAGTAATCATACAATCAATTAAAATCATTTTTATCTCTAATATAAATGTTTTTTCGCATTTCATTTTTACGTTAAAAACATCTTTTTGTCGGTTTTTGTATTATTTTCTTATATACAGAACGACTAATAATTTGTTTGCTTTTTTATTCATAAAATAATATAATTATTAATATATTTATATTTATATATAGATTTGTGTACTTATATGACAATCAAAATGAACACAAAATGATAACTAAATTACTTTTAATCTCAAATTATAACGCTTTAAATGATTGAATGGATTATAAGAAAAAATGTATGAGAAATGAGTTTTGCGCTTAAATCGCAAAACAATAATAAAATATTACAATATTTACATTTCATCTAAAAATGTGAATCGATTTCAGTTCGGTTTCAAAAAATAATTTGTCGTCTCTTTCGCTCCCAATATAAGAAATATTGAAATGATTTGTTGTTTGCGTAACTCTTATCTCATTTATAATCGTATCGATCGTCAAAATTACATAATCATAATGTTTTGAGTATAAGAGTTGCAAACAAATCAAAGAGTTTGAAAACACTTTTTTAAACCACAATTTGTTTCGTTAGCTTTTTCTCTTCAAACAATAATTAAATTACTTATAATTATAATAAAATTTTAAATATAATAATATATTTCTTATATAAAAACATTGGTTTGTATGGATATGAGAGCAAAGGCCACTATAATTAAGGCATCTCTTAATGAATTATAAATCACAATCAAGTGTTGATCAGTTATAAAACCAATTAAAATACGAAAACGCATTCAATGTTCATGTGTTTCGCATCACAAGAATGCAGTACAAGAGTTATTATGAAAAATATTAAATTGTTTATCAGTTATAAATAAAGACATTTGAATGACAGCCGAAACAACAATCATTTGTTCATTTGTTTGTGTCATTCCTCATAGTCTTAAAGGCGTAAGAAATTTGAAAAAATCTATATATAAAAAACAGTTTGAATAATAACAACAATTATAATAATCGATAATTACATTAATTAGTTATGTATTAATTGTCATACATAGACAGGAGATCCCTGTCCGGTATCGTTGCTATTGTTGGAACTGTTGCTATCACTGAGTTTGATGGGATAGGCCTGTCCTCCGGCGTCAAAAAATCGCCGGAACGTGAACTCGAAGAACGCGTGTTCGGGATGTTTGCTGTTCTCCGAGTAGTGGCCATTCATTTGGTTTATATAGTCGTAGTCCTCGCGCGACAGCATATCATTGGACGTGCCGTTGGAGTGGAACTTGTCGTCGATCTCATCGAAGTTGGAAGTGTCCGTCTCGTACTTGATCTCCGGTACATAAGGCGCCACCCGTTTCCTCAGCTCACTGTCAAAGTTGATGCCCTCGAAGAACGAGTGCTTCTTGATATCGTCGGCACCGCTCCTCCCGAGCCTCTCCTCCGGTCCGCAACACAACTTCAGTATCAAATCGGAAGCGTTTGTGGAAAAGTTGCGGTCCTTTGGTATACGCAATGTTTTGTCCCAATGGATGACCTGTTTATATACATAACGACATAAGCGATCAAAATATTGTAAACTTGTAATCAATTTTGTTTCTCTCGATAATTAATGAATGCATCGAAACATACTTTGTTTTGAGTTTCTTCGGGTGTGTTTGCATTGAAGGGAGGAATGCCTACAATCATCTCATAGAGGATAACGCCAACACTCCACCAGTCGCACAGTTGGGTATAACCCGTTCTCATCAGCACTTCGGGTGCGATATAATTAGGGGTTCCCACCAGTGAATGGGCTAAACATCTCTGATGTTCTCTCCGTTTTCTCCTCTCCAACGGCTTAGATGTGGGAACAAAACAGTGACAGTTGTTCGCACCCCACGACTCGTCGATGTCCATCGAGTCCTGCCGGTCGTGACTATCGATACCGTTGTTTCGTTGATAGTATTTCGAGTTATGTGTCCACCGAAACCCAGTGCACAGACCGAAGTCCGTCAGCTTTATGTGTCCGTCCCTATCGATCAGTATATTGTCGGGCTTTATGTCTCTATGAATGAAACCCATTTTATGGACACTCTCGACGGCAGCGACCAATTCCGCGATGTAAAACCTATTCAAATAGTTCACATTTTTTATTACTTCAATTATTTAGCATAATAACGGCACATATGGCGTGTCTTATAAAAAACGACTCTCTTTTAATGCCAAACAATTTTAATGCAAACTTAAAAGTTTAAGAAAAAACTGTTCCCACAATTGTGTATCAAATAAGATCTCACTCTTTAAGGTTGGCATGAATTGAATTCCTAATCTATTATTTGGGAAAATATGCGATCCGATTGTGAAATAAGTCAAATTCCTTAAACCCTAACAACAGTCCTCTCCTCCCTCTCCCTCTCACACACAGACACACTCTCCCCTCTCATCCCAGACCTCAAGGACTTTTGCTATCAAGTGGTCCCCAAAAAGAGGACATATTTTGCATGCAATGACTGAAATGGGCAAAAGTGGTCACAAACCTGGCGAGCGGTTCATCGAAAATACCAAACTTGATGAGCAAAGACATGAGATCACCGCCGGGTATGTAATCCATGACAAAATAGAGGTAATCCTCGTCTTGGAAGGAATAGTAGAGTTTGACGACCCAATCGTTGTCCGCTTCGGACAGAATGTCTCGTTCGGCCTTCACGTGCGCCACTTGATTGCGCTTCAGTACATCCGACTTCCTCAGGGTCTTCATGGCGTACAACTGGTTGGCGTCGATCTTCCGGACGAGAGCCACTTCGCCGAACGCTCCGACGCCGATGTTCTTGATCTTCGTGAACAACGATCGGTCCATTTTAGCCCTCTTTAGGCGCAGATAATTGGACTCCTTTTGGTACAGCATTTTCCTCATCTGGCACTGGTCTTCGTCGGTGAGCCCGACTTTGGCCATCTCTGACTCCAACTGTTGGCGTCGGCGCTCTCTTTGCTGATGAGATTTTATCACATTCTCCACGTGTTGTTCCATAAAGAACTTGAAGGCCGCGGGCGAGTAGTTCTTCACTTTGGATTCGCGCCTCTCTTTCTCCTTCTCTTTGGAGAGACTCTTTCGCGGAGGAATCGGCGACTGATGTGTGGTCTTGTGCTGCGACTTCTTTGTGGTGGTGTTCTGTTCGCTGGTCGACGACGTCGAGACACTGGCGTCCGAATCGAAGTCCGTTGTGTTACTATTGGTACTACTCGTCACATCACTGTTCAGTTGGTTGGGTTTGGGAGGCAGTGGTGGCACTCCTTCGAGTTGGCGCCGACCCATCGACGGCACCCCTTGAAGAGCACTCACTTGCGAATTGCATATACTCTCCACAGTGTTGACCAAATCGCTGCGATCAGTGCTCGGAGGTATCGGTGCGGGACGTGTGGGCATTTGCAACGCGGGCGTAGTCCTCGTGCTGGTAATGCCCGCCCTCTGCGCCACTAACGCGGCCACAGACGAGGCATAACTGGGCGGTTCAGTGGTGGGCACCTGCACTGCGCCGCCGTTGAAGTCGTTGCTGAACGACATGTCGGGCCCTTTGGGGGCCGTATAGGGTGGAGGGGGTGGAGGCGGCGGCGGTTGACTTAGTGGTGGAGGACTTTGTATGGGAACGGTATCGCTGTTCAACTGATGGAACTGTTGTTTCTGCTGCTGCTGTTGCATAGCCGTGGCATAAGAGGGCGGAGGGTTCGCCGGATAGCACTCCTGGATGGCAGCGGTCCGACCGTTGGTCGTCGTCTTAGGCACTGAATTCAAATAAGACGGCGAAGTGGCCATCATTTGAGTGTTCACTTGATTGGCAGCACTACTACTACCACTACTACTGCCGTTGACATTGGGGTTGTAATAGGAGGGCGGGGGTACGGGTGGTGGCACTGATTCAGATCGAGGTTGAGGTGGTTTAATGGGCGCAATAGTCGGAGCGACGGCCGTCTGGAGGACAGGCTTCTGGACGTGAGTGCTCTTCACTGATTGCATAATCACTGGTGATTGAGAGATGGCTTGTCTGGCAGTCCAGGGCTGAAGGGACGGCCGATTGACAAGACTTGACGACTTGGAAGAATTGGATGCGTTGGAAGCGCACGACGCGGTCTGTAGTGATGAGGCACTGGATGTGGACGAGACGGGCGACAGTTTCTTATGGATGTTGTGTTGCATACTATTGATGAGCGCCTGCGGCGGTATCGACGCGTAGTCGGAACTGCTGGAGATGGTAGGCGTCGGCGACTGACGCCCAGAACTGGACGACGCGGCATAAGATGGCGGCGGAGAGTATATGGAGCCAAAACTGACGGGACTTTGCGATACGGCGTAAGGCATGAGTTGTGGCGGAAGTGAAGAGCTATTAGAGTTTGAATTGTTAGAAGAGGCGGAATAAATGGCCAAATTCTGCAACTGTTGTGACAAATGGCTGGTAATGAGAGTTAAATTGGGCGCACAGTTGGCACTGCTTCGGCTGGAAGTGGTGGCGCTGTTGTGGCCGTTGTGTACGAAAGAGATGGGAGACGTCCCTCTTTGGGGCGACGAACTCGACGCCGACGACGCGTAACTGTAGGCCTGCGCCCGACCCGACACATGCACTCCATTGGTGGTGAGCGACGTGTTGTTGGCACTGTTCGGTGTCATCCGTTTGATCATGTGCTGCAACTGCTGATGAATGGCAGCATTGCTGGAACCACTGCCGTTCACGCCATTGGTCGTCATGTTTTGCACCGGTATTTCAACGCTTGAATTCTTCGACGACGGCGTGGGACTCGTGTCCGACAACTGGGCCAACGTCTGGCCCACTATTGAGCCCCGCGGAGGGGGCAAAGGGGGCGGCGGTTCGGCCGACATATAGTTGGGAGAAGTCCTGCTGTTGTTGACGGAGTGGTGATGGAAGTGGGGGTGATGTGAGTGGAGGTGATGGCCGTTCACGTGGCCGTTGAGGTGGCCATTGGAGTGGCCGTTAGTGAGGCCATTGGTGTGGCCGTTGGGCAGGTATGTCAGTGGGTGGCCATTGGTGTGGCCGTTCATGTGATCATTGAGTGGTAGGCCATTGCTGTTGAGAATGCGGGGCTGATCGGGAAGGAGTCGATCCCTGTGTATGTTTGCGATACACGTGACGCCCGGACTGTCGGACCGGATGGACGACCCGCACGAGCCATTGATGGCCGACTCGCGCGCGAGTATGTGTCCAATGGTCTGACAGGTCTGACCGGGCGATGAGTTGGTGTCGGAGGCACTGCTGGCACTACTGGTCGGTCTGTCATTGTTGGCGAACGGCTGAAGACTAATGCGGATCTCCTGCAGCGCCTTCGCCCGCGCCTCCCGTGCGTCCCGACCCGACATTGTCTTCACAACAGGTCCGCCACTGAATCGATAAACACATGTATTAAACAATAGGGCATCAAATGTACGGCAGATATAGTCGTGGCACAGATGTTATGCTCAATACACTCAATACACAGCCATCTTATATACACTCAGGAATTACTATCAATACTACTATAGTATACACTCTATGGCACAGTCTATGCCTCAATACTACTGCATACCAGTCCCACAGCTCTCTCCCTATCTCTCTCTCTCTCTCTCTCCCCCTCCGATCCGCTGCTCTCTCCACAGCTCTCACATCAATCCCTCTCTCAATACAACCCCTATATATGTCTCAACACTATCACAACTGGCGCTACAACTCCACAGACAATCTCTTCGCCACTTTATTAATGCATTTAATTATCATCAATAGATATGTGCATGGTCATTTTCGATATAGCATGTAGAACGTTCCAGTGTATGTATATTTAACAATCAAGTTAATGCAACTATACTCGAATAGTTTGTGAAATTGTCAATTATATTAATAAAATGAACAAAATGTCATTTATTTAAAACAAATGCAAATTAAAATAAAACTTTTGTAATTTTGTAGTTTTAATCAAATCTAATACATTCACAGTTGAATATAAACGAAAAATGTGTATAAATGCACAAATGTATGCATTTTGCGCTAACTTTAGCTTAGAAATGATGTGCAAAACTTGTGGGTAAAGTTAGTTTTGTGTTCAACTTTCCACACGATATTTGACTCAATTATAGCACACAAACAGCTCTGAGAGAGAGAAACAGTGAAATAGTTTTTCACATCACTTCTCAAATCCAGTCTCCAATGCATTACGAATGAGATGTTGTGTTGTGTTTGTGTCGTCAGAGCGCACGCGTCGGCCAATGGAATGCACACATTATGCACACATTATGCACACATTCCGATCGAATTACGTGCACAACATATGTCACGGCATTACTGCACGTCATTTACGGCACAACTCAACACTCCATTCAACCCAAACCATTGCTACTGCAGTCAACACTCCATACATTGCCAGCCGAGTCATCATTGGGTCTCTCAGTCGACCAAATGGTCCGCACTATAGGTGTTGTCGTTATGTCGGCTCACAATCGGTGCTCAATATGTTTTGGTGTTTTGCAGTTCGCGTGCCGTCGGTCTTATGTGCGGTCATTAACGAGGTTTGACTGTACCTCACATTCCTTTCGTACGCTATTTAAATGACAATACAGTTTTGCCGTAAATGTTGTACACATATAACGTACTATACATGCAATACGCGGTCAAGGCTTACAAATGAGGGGATGGGAGGGATGTATGCGTGCGGACACTATAGGGGGTCATTTGGGGGGCGAATAAGTGATGGGAACGTAACGCTATATATGAGTGATGGGAATGACATGTGCCTCTCGTTTTGAAGAGTAAATAAATGATTAATAAATAAAAACAAATTTGAGTCAAGATTTGTGTGATTTTTGTTTTGTTTTGTACCCAAAAATGGCATAAATGAAGTGATAGTAAGTGTTTGTGTGTCTCGTCTTAGTATGAGATCTATGTATTAATGTCTCATATATTGTGCACTCCTTTTCCACTCCAAGACATCGACCATAAAGTGTACAACAGTTTCGGTTATAAACCATAAACAAGTTCGTCAACACCACTCTCTCTCTCTCTCTCTCTCTCTCTCTCTCTCTCCATAAACTCTCGTAAAATATAAATGTTTGAAAATTGTCACTCAATTTATTGGTAATAAAAATACCAGAAAAATATGTAATCATTTTATCATTAGCGCATCTTTTAGTCTCATTTCAATATTAAGCAAAAGTATTGCTCTCTCTCTCTCTCTCTCTCTCTCTCTCTCTCTCTCTCCGCACAAATGCATATCTAATCAATTAATTGACTAAATAATAGTGAAAATAGTTTACATACTTATAAAGTTATTATTAGCGGAGAATTGATTGTATGATTGTATGGATTGAATGGTTATATTGTTTACACAAATAATTATATATTTATTTATTGATAGCGAAAATATGTGACAATTAATTGTCATTTCAAATGAAATGCATTTTTATTATTTACACATCTATTTAGTGAACAAAAATGTCTCATATATTGCATGTAAACCATAAATGTAGGCAATGTTTGGCATATTTATAGCGGTGTTTGCTTTAAGACCTATAAAACACTATTCATTTCATATAGAGTTAGAATTTGTATGAATTAAATGATTACATATTTTTCTGGTATTTTTATTACCAATAAATTGAGTGACAATTTTAAAACATTTATATTTTACGAGAGTTTATGGAGAGAGAGAGAGAGAGAGAGAGAGAGCAATACTTTTGCTTAATATTGAAATGAGACTAAAAGATGCGCTAATGATATGAATTGTAGTATAGGTTTAGTGGATATGGATATCGATAGGATTTATCGCATATTGGGCTCAGCATTCAAACGGGTTTATGGCTTTTACGTGAAGAGACCGCTCCAGAGGTTCAATGTGGACAATAGGGCTGAAAAGGCGATCGACAAACAGAAAGCCATTCCCAGAATGGCTCCAAGACATGAACGCACCGATCAATTATTTAAACAAATCACTCAAAGTTTGTGTTTCCCTTTTACGCATACTTTCTATTTTTGTTTTTTCATTAATACTTACAACACATTTATCACTGACTTTCTTGCGGTGCAGACAATCCTCAGTTCAGACAGGAGTTGAACGAAAAGCGTGAAGACCTTCTCAAACGCCTGCAAACGGTTAAAGTTGTGTCCGAAGAGAGAGTTTGGACCGAAGAGGAGGTGAAAGAGATGGAGGAAATCAAAGAGCGTGTGCGGAGTCGACTGCCGCACTCTCACGAGGGCACTGACATACCGATGCACGCGTACGTCGAGCCCCATCACGTGCCCATCGGGCGCATCAGTCTTATACGTGCGCTGGACTTCATCGGAAAGCACGCGCAATCTCCCGACCACTTCGACGCTCACACTATCGCCGCTCAGCACCGCTTAGACGAGGAGGAGGTGAAGAATGTGTTGAAATATTTTAAGCCCTTCTATAAGGATGTGATGACCGATCCGGTGGCCGACACGGAGGAAGTGTTAGGCGTTTCTAAGGAAAAATGGCGGGCAATGAGCAGTTTTTTGAAGCCAAAGAGTGTGTTCGAGCATCAGATGAAGATCGAAGCCACCGATGCTGACAACAAGTCAACCGCAGATCAAGTCAATGACAAAACGGTAAAAGAAGAGAAACAGCAATAAATTTAGTGATATAAACATTATTATGAATTAAAGTAGATTTGCATTTAAATACGAATACATGTTATATAACTTTTTCCATTTTATTCGTAAAAATTCATTAGTTATTGAATATATAAAAATTCTTGCGAAACAAGTAATTGATTATTAAATAAACAATTATTTAACTAAACATTAAAAAATAATTCTGAATGAAACCTAAAAGAGTGGTGTTTTGTTGTGAAACGAATTGATTACAAAATACATAATAACTTAATAAGTGATTTGCATTGTTGTTAAACCGGATCTAATGGGTCGCCGGCGTTAGTGTTAGCGGTGGTGTTGAGTGAGACGGAAGGGGCGGCGGTAACGCCCGCCGCAGCGTTTCCCGGGAGCTCCCGATCCCACCGCCAGACCGTTGAGTCGTCGCAAACGCACAATAGTATAGAGCCGTCGGCGTTAAGACATGTTTGACGGACGGCTGTCGTGCACTTGGGATGAGTTAATAACGTAGACCTGTCCGTCAAATACATGGGTTAATAATTGGGGTTTAATTCAAGAAATAATAAACAAAATTTGGATATAAAATGAATAGGAATTGAACATAAATTGTGCGATTCTTTGGCAATAATTATTGGCACAAATAATGATCTTTTTATGTAAAAACGCTTAAATTATTGGATATTTTTCTAAATAAGAGAAACCCTTTGAATGTGAAAAACAAAAAATAAATACAAAACCAAATAAAATTCAAATTCAACTCTCAATTAAAGCGCAGAAAATATTGCGAGAATGTGGAGAAGGGAAGGGAGGATGGGATGAGTGCTCAACAAAATATGCGGTGCTTTTCAGTGCAAAAAAGCGTATCAAAAAGAGAGCAATAAATATAGCGGTAATGAATAGTGTGACGCATACCTGGGAATCTGGGGATCGTCGACATCCACGTCCCACACATTCACTTTCCCGGATTGATTGCCGAGCGCTAAGATCTTCTGCTGGGAGTCCATAGAGAAGCGCATAAACCAAATGTCGCACTCTTTGTACTCAAACTTATGGACGAGAGTGGAGGACGAGTCGCCTGAGTATGACTTCGGCATTTGGATGTCGTTCTCGTCCTCGAGTTTGCCCGGTTTCCAGCACACGATGGCGTTCTCACACGACTTGGACAGCACGAAGTTGCCGAACCAACGAACGCAGTCCACGTAATTGCGGTGTATGTCTCGGGTGGTGAACAGCGGGAAGTGATCGCGCATTGTGTTGAACGGAATGTTCGTTTTAGAGCCGTTGAATTTGTACGACTCTTTGATCGCCTTCTGGATGTCCTCCTTTTCCAGTGACCAGATCTTCAGCGAGTGATCCATTCCGCAGCTGATTATCCGATGGCCGCGCAGATGGAAGTCGGCGGACAACACCTCATCCCTGTGTCCTTCGACGCCACCGAAAATGGCCACACAGTGATCGGTCTTTATGTTCCACAGTCTTAACGTGTGGTCTTTGCTCACCGATAGTAAGAGGTTTGGATCCAATGGACTCACTTTGAGATCATTGATAGCATTGCCTGTAAATCAAGAGACATTCACGTTTAAAAAAACAATTATAAATGAATGGGAAATAGATTTGAAACAGAATTGCATTGAAAGACATTGCATTAGAAATGGTGTAAACAATAGAAATGGATGCAAACCGTGTCCGATATAGTGTTTAATACACTGTTGAGCGGTATTACTAATAATACGAATAATGCCTCGACTGCCTGCGGCGGCCAATAGCGGGACACCCGTCACGTCATCGTAACTCCAGGCGCACGTATAGAAGCTCTCGTCGGCGTCCGTATCGGCATAGCATTGGACTAAACGAATGGTTCCGTCATTCATACACTCATAAATGGAGACCCGATTGTTGCCAACGGTTGCAAAATAGTTGTGACCGTCGGGTAAGTGTTGATTAAATTGAACGCCAAATATGGGAGATCTATGGTCTTCTCGCAACCAATAGGAGAATTTGTACTGCGGTTTGCAGTACTTCTTGGGACCACTTCTATCTGATTTGGCTTTCGTTGTAGAGCTCGAAGAATCGCCGTTCGCTTGTTGTGCGGCATTCGTTGCGTTCCTCTTCCTCTTCTTGGCCTTTGGTTTATTCGCCGGCAGTTTATCGCAAATATGATCGTCAGTCACACCATTGGTGACACTCTTTCGCATTGAGTTACGAGTGGTCACACCCTTCCCATTGTTACTACCGTTTGAACCCTTATTATCCTATCATTGAGTGACAAACAGATTAACGCACGTCTTGTCGGACGAACCGATGGAAACACTTACGTCTTCGCCATCGGACACGTCTTTGTCGATACTATCATCAATCTTATCGCTCATGTCATCGATGGTCAAATCAATTGTCTCGTTCAGATCAATCACTTTCGACATTTTCCTATTGATGGCATTCAACTGAAAGACAATATATGTGGTCAACAATGAGTCATCAAACCATAGCTAACAAAGTGTGGTAAGTCTTGAGCTCATCCATCCAAACACTCACCGAATTCCTGAAGAATACAAACATTAAACCGAAGACTCATTGATAATAAACACCACTGTTTTTGGCCACAAATCACAATTCATTTGCATATAAAACACATTACGAAACAAACAGTGTATCAAAAACTTTGTATTAAAACTAATTATACTGTGATTTAAACTAATAATAAATGAGTATTAAAAACAAGTCAACGCTTTTTCAATGCATGCATTTCTGCCACCGATTTGTGGTCTAAAAACATGTAATAAAAGTATAGTTAAAACAACTATCGATGCGATTGTGTTGTAAAGTCCGACACAAACAACACATTTAATTGTAAATTAGTGTCTAATTAGTGTATAATTAGCGGCAATTAAACGAGCGTTTAGTTTGTGTTTACGAAATGCATTGCAAACACAATACAAACAGTTGTGAAGCGATTGAGTGAATGAATGAATAAAGTCCCGCCTTTTCAACGCTAAAACCCATTCATAAATTCAATTCAATATACAATTCAAACCATTTATTATGAAACCCTTATGTGTCCGCACATGTCATCACCTGATCCACGACCAGACACTCCCGACTGTCCGCACGTTTAGCTCCCGATCAACCCATTTCACATACAATTAATCGCTTTTAAATCACACTTTTATCACTATTTATGGCCCGATTTTGTAATCACTGTATTATTGCAGACATTATTTATGGGCTGTTTGTGTCAAGTGTTTGGTTATGTTTTGGGCCCTTTTGACGCTCGCTATTCATACTATTATAGCGTAGGGTTTATACATATCAAACATACCGTATTGTCGGCATATGTTTAGCACGTTTTCAGCCAAATATAGTGTCGGAAAAAGTTATTGCACTCAAAAATGTGTGTTTGAAATGCGGTTTAAACGCAAACACGTGTTAAACATAAGTTTGATTTAGTGTTGTTGTAGTGACACAAGTGGTGACCGTATTGTCCGACGATGTCTGTCGACGCCGAGGGGTTGTCCCCGAAGACCGGCCATAAACCGCAGAAGAATGGCTTAAGAGCTGTTCCCACACGTGTGTTGAGTCCGTGGAGTGATTCAAATGAATTGATTACTGTTTTCAATAGTATTTATCAAAACAATGATTTAAATGGCTTTGATTTGGACTACAATTTGCTAACGTTTGCCAAAAATAAGATCATTATTTGGTTGACACGTCTTCGGCATAACATCGATATCACTGTTCATCTGATGGCCACTAAAGAGATCGTAAACGCGTTGATTGAAGACAATTCAAACCATCGGACCAGAGATGATGGCGTAGAGGAGGAGGAGGACAGGGATGAGAGCGCTGTTTATTCATTGTATTGTAAGGCAATTGAAATGTTATTATCGATGAAGTGGTTAATGATATGATTTGTCTTTGATTAGGTCTATCGGTGATCCGTTTCTGTACTTCAATCTCGCAGTACTCGCACGAGAACAACATGAAGAGTGTGCGGCGGTTAGCGCACAGGTATTCCTGTCCTCAATGGGTGATTGACTTTCGACACAATCTCTGCCATTCATCCGGTAATCAGCCATCGATTGATGAGCTGAGAAACGCGGCACTCATTGGACTCAATTGGTTGAGACAATACTTTTGGCTCAAGATTTTAGACAATACTAACAATGCGTACAATAATTGCTGCAATTTTTATGAATTAATTAATAGTTATATTAGTATTGATAATAAGAATAAGAAGAAGACTAAGAATGAGATAATATCTGCCATCAAATACTCGAGGAATGAGTTAATAACGGCTTTAATACAGCATTTAATTAGTAAAGAGAATATCAACGAAAAGAAATTCAATTCAGAGTCTCTGAAAGTACCGAAAGTTTATTTAAAAAAGTTTACAAACGTTTTCGCAATTATCATAAATTTTAATTCACTCCCAATTGTATTGAATTTAATCGTTAAACACTTTGATTGTGAAAACGGGTCGCAAAGACATTTAGCCATGAGTTGGTTCTCTACTATTGTGCGAACCATTGGATCCGATAATAAAGAGTCAAAATTTAAGCGTAACTTTAAATGCATATCATATAAGACATTAATGCCGAGAATAGATTGGGTTAGACTACTGTATAGTGTAGTGAAACGGCCGAACCCTAAGACATCGGCATTGATTGAATTGATTGCACCCATTGTTGCGGATGTCATACCAGAAGAGAAGATTGAAGTATTGAAGAATCTGTCGAATCGGTTCTCATATGAAACAATTGAATCAATCCATCAAAACAATGAACCAAAAGATGCAAAATTTATTCCCAAAACAGTGAAAGACTTATCACCGGTCGTACAGATCAATGACCCGCCGGTGCCTCATATGAGCGGTAAGAATGCGGACAAAAATACTGTTGTGTCTGATAATGAAAATTATATTTCGATTACTTTTATTATATTATCGCTTAATAGTCATTAAATTCTTTAAGTATTTCACGCTTTTCTCCGAAAAATATCTTTTTTGACGTGAATTTATTTAGTTTTTTACTCATAAAAAATAATAATACCTTTGAATACAACCTTCAATTCATTACTGATATTTTTTGTTGTGTTTTTAACAACTCATTTGAATAGAAAGCTTGAAATGCAGTGAAAAATAAGGATTAAATACTTTTAAACAGAAGAAAAGTCTTAAATATTTAATAAATAATTTATTTATTGATTTTTTCTAAGGGGTTTCTCTCGTTTTTATGAATTTTATTATTAGTTTTTTGGGAGATGTTTGCGAAGACAATAGGACTGATCATTCATTTTCTGACACTTTAGTTATGTTTTGAGGCTATTATTGAAGGAAAATACGCGAAGAGATAACGAACTCTAAACCATAAATGCATTGAAAATTTGTATTTCACGTCTATTTTTAATAATAGGTTTAAAATTGCTGTTAAATTTGTAATAAATATTTATATAGAGATAACACACAGAGAGTCAGTAAGAATTTTAATGAATGCATTCATTAATCGACAAATTAATTTCTGTTCATTTAATATATGATTAATTTGTTTCGTTTTAGAGCCAAACGATTGGTCGCAAATTGCTTTCGGTTCCTCTCTGTCGGCCACGGATTCCCATGATTTGGTTAATTATGATTAATATACGATTAAATTATGTTTTATTGAATCTTTAATTTGTGATTAAATGCAATATTTTTACATGAAATACATTGTTATTATTTATAAGTCTATTTATTATATAAAAAGATTATTAATAAAGTCAGATATTTAATATGTATTGATATATAAAAACGATTACAAAATGCATATGATTTCAGTCATAATATCGGCGATCGGAGGCATAGGCCTGTATATCATCCGCATTCCTATTGTAATGGCTTTCAATGGGATTAATTGATTGATAGATATGTTGGTTAGGATTTGCATTTGTTTGGCTTCTGGTGTACTGTTGTTGTGGCCCTAAGTTAGAGAATAATACATATAAATTAATATTTCATAAAAATGATATTAAGAGATCCATTAATTCACGCTCATGGAAATATTATAACTCACTGAACATGGTTAGAATGGGCTTTAATTTATCATAATCATTTTCTTTGTCGTCGACGTATACGTGAGGTTCTTGTCGATTATCGGACGCCCTATAGATTTGATCCCTTATTTGATTATTGAATAGATGGTCGTATTTGTCGTTGTGTTTAATGTCTTCCTCGGCGTAACTGTTTGTCCTATGAATCGCATAATTAATGTTTGTCTTTATGGGCGGCGGGTCTTCAACGTTGAGCATAACGTGCGCCGGATTTGCCTTATGTTTGAGATACGGTTCGTTTGAATTAATTTTGGCCACAAATCCTTCGGGACCCGCAGTATAGTCGACCTGAAATGTAAATTAATTGATAGAAAACAACATTTTTCACCACAAATATAGATTATGTTATTCTTTGCAAAAACTTTCACAACTTTTCTGTAAATCCCATTCGAGTCGACGTATCCATAGCTTCCGACGACATTCCCGTTTGAATCGGCTTTTCGTTTGCATAAAATTCAATTATAAATTATTCATTTGAATTATAAGAAAAAAAAGTTTCAAAAGTTTAAGAAAATGTTCATAAAATATAAACTTTTTTATATCGTGTGTAAGAAATTTAATATTCACCAAAAAAATAAAACACTGAATAAAATTCATGTATTTTTTCACGAAATATAATATATTGTTTCGGCAAAAAATAATTTTAATTAAATGCTTTTGCTTTTTCTTACTTTTCAATCATTAATATTTTACATTATTATGCATTCAAACCATAACTTTGAACGCATATATTGTAAAACATTAATCCGTTGTCAGTATANCTTTTGCTTTTTCTTACTTTTCAATCATTAATATTTTACATTATTATGCATTCAAACCATAACTTTGAACGCATATATTGTAAAACATTAATCCGTTGTCAGTATATTCTCATGAATTGATTAGTTTTATTGATGGCTTTTAAGTAGTTTTATCGATACTTAATGGCATAGGATTTATATATTGCATGATCTGTGTGTCTGTATGTGTGCAACTGCATGGCTATCAAACCTGTCTCGTGTCTGTCCTGCTTATTGCCATATCCATCATCGATGTTGTATTCAAACTGGTAGGGCATCGGATACTCCTATCAAACAAAATGAAAATTTCTATTAAATAAATGCCATTTTCCTGAGAAAATCATTTTAATTAAATATATATAATATTATTATTTTTATAATACTTTATATTCTGATGGATAAGATCGCGATTTCTGGTGATTATAGCCATCAAATTGAGAGGTTTTGTAGTCATTTGAGGGCTCGTTCTCTCCGTTCATTTGATTATATACTCGATTATAATTGCGATCATTATTTAGGTATTGACTCAAAACAACATTTGCCAAAAATGATAACAAAAATATTTTGATCTGTGGTAGAAATTTTTAATATTTAAATATATTGTATATATATTTTAATATAGTTTAGTTATAAATTAGATATAAGTTAAATGTAATGAACCAAAGTATGGTTTTGAAGTTATGGTAAAATAACTTTTGAGAAAATTTAGACCTAAAACTACAATTTAGACCTAAAACGATATGTATTTGTTGTGTATATAATGGACTTTACAATAATGGTTAAGCCATAGAATATGAAATTTTGGTTAAATCTATTTTATAATAAATTCAAGCAGTATAAAAAACAATATGGTAAAACGTTATCAAATGTAATCACTTAAATTTTTTTAAAATTTGATTTAATAAATAATCTAATGATAAACTTCAAATAATTTTTAAACTAATAATAAATCAATAAACAAATATTATCATGTAATCACTTATTTGTGATATCATTATAGATATATTTAAATATTC